AAAAAAAAAAAAAAAAAAAAAAGAAAGAAAAAAAGAATACAACATATCTTTATATAATTAAACAAACATTCCCCAGATAGGGAACCTGCATGAGACTGATCTAGGCCCTGTGTATGTGTGTGACAGTTGTGTAGCTTGGTCTGTTTGTAAAGCTCCTAGCAGAGAGATCAGGACCTGTCCCTGGCGCTTAGCTGGCCTTTGGGAACCTGTTCCCCATACTCGTGCAACACATCTTGAACTAATAATCCACAACTGGTGTGTGCACCCTTGCTCAGCGTATGCGTTACATTTTTAAGTGACTGACAACTCAGTCTCTTTATACAGGCATTAGCACAGACACATAAAATACACCACACTACTACAGTGGGGCAGCCTCAGCGTCACTAGGCTATAGGTGTTAGGTCTCAAACACAGGACTAACAGTTAACTGAAGTGCCTATTTAACATATCAAAATGGATCTGGCTGCCAGGTTCTCCCAGCATCCCTCATCCCCTACCTGTTCCAGGGAATGGCTGGCACACTCCAACCCCTACCCTGAACTCTCCAGCCCAGGGTCTGGGCTACCCTTTCCCCAGCTGATCTTCACTATATAATCCAGCCATTTTGGTAACTCGGCCCCTTTTGTCTACTCTTTACCCTCCTGGCCTTTTGGTCTCCTGAATCCCCTCTCTCCACTCCCCCCTCTCGGCCTGGTTCAGGGTCATGTTCACTCTCAACTCTCACAAATGCCTCTGCCTCTAGATATGCTCTCCCTTTAATCTACAATAAACCTCCTCCACCATACTTAGAAACAGTCACGTCCTCCTTTTTAATTTCAATTTTTTCAATAGGAAATTTCCAACTGCATTATAATCTTATGGACTCTTTGCTATATATATGGTCCAGTGTTGTTGATGGGAATGCATTCTGCAGCATGAAATGTCATTATACACTATCAGACTGTAGTTCAGGAGCAAAATTAGACCTGGGCATCCAATTCTGCATGATATACAAGTGTTGACACTTGTATCTGCTGGCAGAGTGGGAGAGTACTCCCCTTGAGTGAGAATATCTTTGTTGGCCAGGAGATAAGGCTCTGAGCACAGATTGGATAGGGCATTAGACACAAGAGTTTTGTATAAATGTGGGACTCTGAAAAGGCTGTATCTGAGTAGAAATAAAAGCCATTCATTAGCTGGGGTCTAAAATAATCTTTTCCTGCTTTTGTTTGAAATTTGACTGAAAATTAAAAAAAAATCTATACCCATTAGAATTAATATCCTGATATTTTTCAGATAATTTATAGTCTGAATTCATATGTCCTATGTGATCAAGCAGCCCTGAACTGAAAAATTGGTGTGAAATTGGCCCCGGGGTGGAACACTTGG